GCGTCCAGTGCCCCTTGCTCTTTGCGTACGGCCTTCTCGAAGCCATGCCTGACAACACCTAACCACAGTGTCTACACTTCTTTGCACTCTAACTGCAATTGCCCGAAAAGAAAGTCCAGCTTCCCGAAGTCCCACTATACGGCCCCTATCAAACTCACTAAGTTGACGAAATCGTACAGGTCTCCGTACTCTAGGCATCGTAACCGATCGTAAAGGATGTCAAGAACCAAAAGCCGCCAACGTTGATTCTTTACTGCGGCTGAAATATTCATTTTTAGAGCGTTAGTGAATTAAAAAAAAAACAGTATAAAAACCGGAATGTCCAACTGATAAGGCTGAAAATTGTTTCACTTGTTATTTACAGTAAGATAAATACATTCACCAACTGTTATTAAAATAAAACCATTTAAACTGGGTGTTCGGATTTATATGTCACTTAGTATAATTCGCATTTTTTCCGCGCTATTTGACAACCAGATGAGATTTTCAGCCCACCCTAATATACGCCACCGCGAGTTTCGTTTCTTTATGACCACTTGACATTTGTTTGAACTTTGTATTTCCAAATATTTAAAAATGAGAGAGAATATATCCAAGAAATATCAGCCTGCGGCGAACCTAGTCAAGCGACTTTAAAAGTGAATGACTTATTCAGTGAAAATGACCGATGATATCGTCTTAATCTTCCACCTCCACCGTAACATCAACCGTCTTTCCATTGTCTGGATTCCAGCTATTTGAAAAGGCATAAATACTCAGACGCTTCACGGGATTTACGACCACAAGGGCGTTTTGATAATTTAAATGAATCTTATAAATCGTTGTCTGTCTTGTAGCGGGACTCGTCACAAATTTTAAGTAAGCGCCACCCGCGTCTTCTGTCTTTCAGGCGTTCTTCTAAGAAGTTAATGATTTTGTTCATTCCTTGCGTCAAGTGAGGACGTGCCTGACACTTTTGATGCCATAGATTCCACGGCATGAGGCATTTTCTACCCTGCAGGACCGTAATGCTTACGCAGTTAAAAAATAATGCTTTCTATAGTGCCTGCATTTTCACCTTAGCTTAAAGATAATGTTTTCGTCTTTAACTGATTGGCGGATTTGAAACGTCCTGCCAAATTTTCTGGCTGCTCAGCTACTTGATAGATTAATATTTACAATTCAAAACTACGTATATTAACGATCAATCCAACTATGAACACTTAATTCAGACCAAACCTAAACCCATAGGTCAGAATGATTTCTTCTACTACAAAGAACCAAATAAGCAAGATGGATAAAGAAAACGAACAAAATATTAATTATGATAAAACTATTGAGAGACAAGGTAACCACTATGCAAGATATATTCCTCGCAAGCCATTCTGTAAATATTTAATTAATGCTTAAATTACATCATGCTCCTTTCTATCACATTTTTAACAATGCTATAGACACCCACCGCGGGATTAATAGAGCAATATTAGGTCAAAAAGTGCTTCGTAATCCACTTAATGGAAAAAAGAAAGCTCAAAAGGTACATCAAATAAAGAATAGGATTATTAAACCGGTTCGAAATCTTATTAAAACAAATACACTTTTTAATTAGTACGGAGACAGAATTTGCCGTTACCTGATAACGAAGGCTTCCATAGTATAAAATAGCGATCAAGGTAAGTATTTCGATAACTGTGACAGTTATTACAATAAGTGACATCCAAAAAGAAAATAAGGAAACATTTTACATCATGTTACTAATGTTATTAATATACTAAGTGACATATAAATCCGAACACCCAGTTTAAATATCTTATTTTACTGTAAATAACAAGTGAAAAAATTTTCAGCCTTATCAGTTGGACATTCCGGTTTTTATACTGCTTTTTTTTAATTCACTAACGCTCTAAAAATGAATATTTCAGCCGCAGTAAAGAATCAACGTTGGCGGATTTTGGTTCTTGACATCCTTTACGATCGGTTACGATGCCTAGAGTACGGAGACCTGTACGATTTCGTCAACTTGTGAGTTTGATAGGGGCCGTATAGTGGGACTTCGGTAAGCTGGACTTTCTTTTCGGGCAATTGCAGTTAGAGTGCAAAGAAGTGTAGACACTGTGGTTAGGTGTTGTCAGGCATGGCTTCGAGAAGGCCGTACGCAAAGAGCAAGGGGCACTGGACGCCGCCGTAGAACAACAGACCGTGAAGATCGCCGCCTAAGATTATTGGCCTTAACGGACCGTTTCTCCACTACCAGGTCCATTGCAAATGAATGGTTTGCAGAACACGGAAGACTTATTGGCATGCGAAGTGTTTACCGACGAATGAGAAGTTTTGGCTGGTTTTCATACCGGCCACACTGGGTCCTCCCTTTAACTCGAGAACACCGACGTAATCGCCTTGAGTGGTGCAGACAACGGTCGCTCTGGGATCAGGAATGGAACAGTATTGTCTTTAGTGACGAGTCTCGATTTTGTTTAGGCATGCACGATGGTCGTGCCAGGGTTAGAAGCCGACGTGGTGAAAGGAGGAATCCACAGTTTTTTGTTGAAAGACATGTTCATCACACTGTTGGAGTTATGGTTTGGGGTGCTATAGCTTATGGTTCCAGGTCACCTTTAATCTTCATCAGAGGTAACATGAACGTGCAGCGTTATATCCTCGAAGTTCTAGAACCCCTTTTTATCCCTATCTTGACGCCCTGGCAGATCCAACTTTTCAACAAGATAATGCCCGACCACATGTTGCAAGATCCACAATAGATTTCTTTCAACATAATGATGTGACATTGTTACCATGGCCACCAAGATCTCCCGACTTATCCCCAATTGAGCACGTGTGGGATATGATGGGTGGGAGATTGCTCAATTTGCAACGTCCTCCTCAGACTCTAGAAGCACTTCGAGAGGAGTTGGTGGTTGCCTGGAATGAGATACCACAGGAGGACATTGACCACCTGATCAGAAGCATGCCTAGGCGTGTTGGAGAATGCGTAGCACATCAGGGTGCATCCACACATTATTAAAGATCAAAGAGCTTTAAAGCAGTGCAATCATTTTGAAATTTTTATCATTTACTTATTATGCTTCATTATGTACTTACACAAAATTTTATTAAAATAAAACCATTTAAACTGGGTGTTCGGATTTATATGTCACTTAGTATATTACAATAAGTGACATCCAAAAAGAAAATAAGGAAACATTTTACATCATGTTACAGGAAATACAACAGACGAACTAATAATTGTAGAGGACATTGATGCAAGGGTTTGGAAAGATGTAAGTAGGTATACTCTAACCACAGGAAAACATGAAGAAACAGCATTAAAAGACAATGGAAGAAGACTACTAGAATGTTTTATGGAGTATGGGCTGATAATAGGTAACACCAAATTTCGTCACAAAGATATTCGCAAGCCTACCCGAGTACTCACAAGTAGAAATGGAAAGTATAACATTGATTGCTTAATAGATTCAAAAACACTAATGTTTTGAGATAGGAAGTGACCATTATCTCCTAGAAAGAAAAATAAATATCGTGTAAGGAAATAATAAGGAGACCAGCAAACACCGAAAAGAAATCCAAAATTAACACTTACAAATTGAGGGAAAATCATACACAAGCGAGATTCCAAAGCCATTCAGATAAAAAGCTTGAACATCACCTGAAGATGTAAATCATCACAGTATCCACACATTATGGAATATGTTTAAAGCCGCAAACCGCGTCGTGGACAGACGATATAAAAATGTAGTAAACATGAAAAGGGAGTCGTGAAAAATATACATAGCAGAAAAAACCGTTGAATCCTACGAGGAATGTAGAAAACATCGGCAAAAAGAAAAGCATAAGATCATAAATGTTAAAAGAAGCTCGTGGCAGAACTTTGGAGAAAAAGTGGAGGAAAGCATCAATGGGAATCCAAAATGATTCCACAGTGTTGAAAAATATAAGACGAAACAATAGCCGTTATTGCAAAGATGATTCTAAATTGTGGAGAGCTGCGGGACTGTACAAAGACAATGTAGGATTGGCACATACCTGGGTGTTCCTGTCGCCTGGTCTGGAGGAGCTCCTCTCTATTCACAGCTCCTTCTTAGGTTCACCACTCTTGCCTTAGCGGATATATTGTACCCGGTTTAACTAGGATTCTTTTGTCGAGGTTTTGAAGACGACCGTCGCCTTTTCCGATCTTTACGAGATTGACTTCACGAAATCTTCTTCTTCTTGTGCGCATGTTTGACTAGTATGCGTACATGCCAAAGGGTTTGAATTTGTATGGCTTTTGAGTTCAAATATTAAAGTATGTTTTAGAAATTGCATGAACAATAACAATGAAGCGGACTATATTATAGATAAAAACGGAGAGCTAATAACACAGGACGAAAAAGATGGAGGAGCTAACAAAAATAAATAAATTAAAATATGCCGTAAGAAACCTTAAACTGTTTAAAGCCCCCGGATGCGACGGATTAGCAGCAGTGAGGTAAAATATATGGGTGACATAGGAAAAGAGAACGAAATTCCGAAAGATTGGGATTTAGCAATCAAACTACCGTCATTTAAAAAGGGAGATACAAAGGTATGTAGGAACTACGGAGGCATGTCTGTATTAAGTATACCAGAAAAAGTTTACGAGAGCATACTAACCGAAAGACTATTCTGAGGAAATACAGCACATGCTGGACGAAGCACAACATGGTTCAGAGGAAGGAGAGGAACAACTCACTGTACGTATATCCATACCCTAACATATGGTTCAGAACTGTGGATATTGAGTGAAAGAAAATACAAGAAAGCGAAATGAAACTGCTAAGAAGAATTGCGGGTCTGCACTGGACAACAAATTTTAGTTTTTAAATTGTATCTTGTGGGAAAAGTGCACTTCTTTGTTAATTTTGGGGCGCTGAATCCAAAAATGACAACGAAATAAAAAAATTAGTTGCGGTTTAGAAAAAAAAATTTTTATTTTTAAGGATATATTAAAAAAAGTAACAAGATTCATATACTTATAAGAATCACTATATGCGCTGTCTTTTTGCTGTTCTTTTATGGATCGTTTCTGGAGCATCTCTACCAAGAGTCCAACAGTAGTCTGCAAGCATGGAAGGATTCCACTTTACCTGGTACCTTTTTTCCATTGTTGAAATATCCTGATGAAAACGTTCGCCGTGCTCATCACTTACGGCTCCGCAATTGTCAGGAAAAAAGTCCAGGTGTGAGTATAGGAAATGTATCTTAAGAGACATATTACAGCCCATCTTTTGATACGATCACAGCATATTTTTGACAAGGGTTTTATAGTTGTCAGCTTTTCTATTTCCCAAGAAATTAGTGACCACCAGACGGAAATCATTCCAAGCAGTTTTTTCAATACCTGTTAAAGTGTCTTCAAACTGTGTATCTTTCAGAATATTTCGAATCTGTGGCCCAACAAAAATACCTTCTTTAACCTTTGCCTCACTTAGTCTTGGAAATTTCTGACGCAGGTATTGAAAAGCTGACCCATCTCTATCTAATGCCTTGACAAAGTTTTTCATTAGGCCCAACTTGATATGCAGTGGTGGTAATAAAATTTTTTTCGAATCTACTAATGGCATATGCTGTACATTTTTTTGACCTGGCTCTAGGAATTGACGAACAGGCCAGTTTTGTCTGGTGTAATGAAGTGCCTTTGCCCGACTGTCCCATTCACACAAAAAACAGCAAAACTTTGTGTAGTTTAGCTGCAGCCCAAGTAAAAGTGCAATAACTTTCAAATCGCCACAAATATGCCATTGGTGCTCATCGTATTTTATGCATGTCAATAGGTACTTCATATTGTCATATGGTTCTTTCATGTGAACTGCATACCCTACAGGAAGAGATGGTAAAATATTTCCAATATGCAATAACACTGCCTTTAAACTCAATGTTGAGCTGTCTATAAACAATCTCCATTCTTCTGGGTTATAGTTTATATTTAAAGCCGCCAGTAAGCCGTTAATGTTACTGCAGAAAACCAAGTTATTCTCCATATTGAAAAATGGTTCAAAGTCTTTGTGGCGTTTACGAAAAACACATACCGAAACATCGTCTTCTAACAAGTTCCACTGCTGCAGTCTTGATCCAAGTAACTCTGCCTTACATTTTGGAAGTTCTAAATCTCTTACAAGATCATTTAATTCTGACTGTGTTATTTTGTGCGGTTGGTGGCATGACGTGCTCGGTATAAAATCAGGATCTCCTGACGTTGATGGCATATCTTCTTCCTGACGAATCACTCGATCGCCATGATCTGATTCGTTTTCTGATTCGCAAGTGTGGGATTCTAGGGGTTTTGGAATAGGATTTTCGTCACTGTGAGGCACAGGTCTCATCGCAGATGGTATGTTTGGGAAGTTAACGGCGCTCTCACAGTCAAGCAGAGTTTCTGAGGGGTATCGGGGGGGTGATAGGGAAAGGCTAGTAGGACGGCGTTGTGACAAGGCAAGCGCTCTACGTTAGAAAAGGATAGTAATACGCAGAGGTGTGCTGTTCGCGTGCCTGGTTGAATTTGCATATTGCACAGAGTCGGATTTGATTTGGATATACGATCTAGCGTACGACTGTTTCCCTATTTTGGCGCATAGTATACTCAGCCCTTATTACTCTTATTACCGTTATTGTATTGTTGTATTATCGTGTTGTTATTGTTGTGTTGTTATTGTTGTGCTGTTATTGTTGAGTTGAGAAAAGTAGGTACCAAAACAATTATGAATTTTAGCATTCATTTTGCCAATAAATTAGACTATACGTAGTTACTATTATAACTATATTTTATATGTTATTTTAGCTTAAAAATGACAGCAAGGTTTCGCATATGCATTCTCTAACAGAGACAGATGGCATGGATCTTCAAATTCAGGTGTGTATACCCTTTTTTTTTAGATTTGCACCAGAGGCTGATATCATTTCTGGCAATTCTGATTAAAAATGCAGTAAGTTTACTTCATGACGTCGATAATAGTATTGTAGAGCAGTTTAACTGAATCATAGCTAAATTCATTGGGGGTAAACGGATTAATTATTGCAAGAAGAGATCCTACCAAGGAAGATGTGCTGCAGCCGTAGTGAGCCACAATACACAGCGACCTGTTTGTGTGATCCAAAAGCGGCTACTCCCTAGTTTCAGTCCAACCTCTTTGATTGCTAAAGTTGAAGAAAGGAGAGCGCACAAAAATCTGAAAAGGAAGCTGAAACCAAGGAAAATTAAAATCAGAGATAGTGATACTAAAGAGAACGCATCCTATGGGGAATTCTGTGAGAAGCCTGACATGAGCAACGACGATAGAGGCTGCCAAGGTAGAATTCTTGAAAAAACTTGCAAAAACCGACTCCAAAATTTCCCAGATCGAGCAAGCCACAAAATCTCAGGATTGCAATTTGTGGCGTCTTCATCGAAGAATGAGGTTGACTGCGTCTCGGTTTGGTGAGGTTTGTAGAAGAAGAGATACAACAAGTTGCAGAGCTCTAGTAAACGCCATAATATACCCAACCGAATTCTTTAGCAATGCATGTGACTATGGAAAAAAGCATGAAAGCGTGGCAAAATCAGAAATAGAGAAATCATATTCGCAATCAGAAGTACAATCTTGCGGGTTGTTTATTGATAGGACCCATCCATTTCTGGCAGCATCGCCAGATGGTTTGATAGGCGAAAAAGGTCTGCTAGAAATTAAATGTCCATGGTCTGCTAGAGAAATAGCCCCTGAAGAGGGCATTCTGAACAAAAAAATTACGTTTTGGATAAACGATGAAATAAATAAAAAGCATAAGTGGTATTACCAAATTCAAGGGCAGCTACACGTTGCACAAAGAGAGTACTGTGTGCTTGGTGTTTGGACCCCGTATGGTTTGAAAATAGACGTCATTCGAAAGGATGACGTTTTCTGGAAAAATGAAATGGAAGAGAAATTGAAATTCTTCTACATGAACTGCTTGCTCCCAGAACTGGTCGATCCCAGAAAAAGCAGAAATATGCCAATCCGCGATCCCATCTTGAAGGCACAAGAGAACCGTTTAAACAAGAAAAAAATCAAATCCAAGCGAATAACCAAAATTTCTGTGTTATGTGCTGCGGTTATAATATGGTTCAAGATGACACACGGGTTGATGACGTCAGTTACACGAATCGCTTGAACGTGTTGGTTTTAACCGCGGTTTTGTTGCAAATTGTTTATTTTAGAAAAGCGCGTATATAATCTCTGATTGTTTTTTTTTTTTTTTTTTTTTTTTTTTATACTCCAACTACCACGAAGGCCTAAGGCCTAAGCACCCATTGGGTACCGTGGGGCTATGGGGGATACATGGGAAAGGGGGGACGCCACACGGACTCTGGCGAGGGAACACGTGTGCATGCAACATGCACACATTATGGCTCCGCCTACGAGAACCGCCGGGTGGTACCTCCGCGTTCGACAGTCAGAGACCATCTACCACCTACGGACAATCACAACATCCATGGCCAAGAGAAACATTTCTCCTGGGACGGGACTCGAACCCGCACAGCGCACGGCGGCTGATCAGGAGACCGAAGAGTCTACTACTGCGGCCACCGCTGCTGCCTAAAACAAACACACAACATCCATGGCGAAGGCGAGATTCGAACTCGCGGCCCGGCCGGCCGGCTGATCAGTAGCACGGCACTCTGACCCACGCGGCCAACCGAGGTCCCGAGGTTATATCAC